TGGTAACTCCATCACGCAGCACATGTTCTCATAATCTTGGGATTAGTATGAGATTGATGTATACCTTTTCAACTCCAGCTAAGCTACTAGCTTCCCTCCTGGAGAAAAAGGTATCAAATAATACAAAATTTGGAACCAATGATACCCCAGAATCAATAATGGAACCAAACAAGGTGAATGAATTTTCTTCTATTGAATCTGAAACTCTTGATCCCTGTGGCTTAAAACTACAAAGACCATTGTCACGGACGTCTTATGAAAGGAATGATGATCAAGCAGATTGGTCTAAACGATTAAAGGTGGATTTAGATAAATATTATGCTCTGGAGTCCGTTGACTTGTTCTGTGGATATCCATGGAACTCTGCATTGATGCCTAAGTCATGTTCATTTAGCCGCTGCAACAAGGTTATGCAGGAAGGTGGACATGTGGTCCATGGAAACTGGCAAGCTCAGTCGGTGGAAGTTTCAAGAACTAGAACAGGATATTTGCAAGAACTGTGGAAAGTTCACATGGAGTCCTGTGTTGATGCCTCACCGCTTGTTGTGTTCAAAGGTTCTGATATTTATTTATTTATTGGATCTCACTCACATAAGTTCCTCTGCATTAATGCCAAAAGGTATGGATCTCACCCTACTCACTTAGAGAAAACAAATGAATTAATTCTTTGTTCCTTCAGTAGATCTTCTTTACAACTTCGTTTCGTAATGATTCTTTGTTATTAGCATAAAAAAATTAAAAGACCAAATTGAATTTATGATTGCTTTTACAATATTTCCTTTCATCTCTATATGTAGATGCACCCAATTAGTATCTTCCCTTTGAAGACATTGTAACGTAAATTGTTTTGCTGTGGTCATTCTGGTTAATGGAAACAATTGTTTAAGTTGGTGTATGGACATTTAACCATATGAACGTCATGTTTCAGTGTTAAACTGAATTTTAGAAATGTGGGGATGAGTGGGATGCATGTACTTTGTATATCTGCAATTTGAGTGCACATGCTCAACTTCAACGTCCTTATTGAAAAAAATTATTGTTTTTTGAAATCCCCTTTTTTTGTGTGTTCTCTTTTTGTATGTCTGTATTTTATTTCATTAACTTAATGTTTCAGTTCTCTATTAGTTACTGACATAGGAGGCACCATCTGTGTGAATAATTCTTGGGATATCTGAGTAAATATTGGTGTCTCTCTCTCATTGGAGATTTGGTTTCCTTGGAATCAAAGGCTTCATGATGACTTGTGCTGCTGGTTTTATTTCACCATCAGGACAAGCTTTAATTTATGGGAAAAATATAATTCATGGCCAGATACGTTGACTTTTGCATGTATAAAAGAAAGAGAGAGAGAGAGAGAGAGAGAGAAGGAATCCAATATTAATTCATTCATAATGATCCTGAGATCAGCTCTTACACGTGAAAGATGACCTCCCCTCCTGCTCCCTAGAAATCTGGAAACAACTAACCTATCAGAAAGAATAAAGTAGAACAACTGAAGTAACAAAATAACAAAATGGCACTGCTAGACACCATAGATCACACTATTGGAATCAGCCATGTTAACAACTTTCCAGCCAACAGCTCCAACGACTGCAAGCCCCAACTTTCCATTGTTCAAACTGGCCTGTAACACTATGTTGCCCTGATAAATTTTTTTAAGTGTCCATGTCCTGTGATTTTTGGCCATAGGTACAGGATTATGACCTTTCAAGGATTCTCAATATATGGAGTTTTTTAAGGAAAAATTAATCATATCCATGGACAGATACCCATATCCAACACTCAGACCCAAGACCAAGTAACATAGGCTATTGTTATTTCCAAGTTAATTTACATATTCTACGTGACCATATACTGAATTGCACGTATCTTGTATTACCAATTTGTGAGGGATGATCAAGCAGACCATCTATTATAAATTGATGCTAACTGTAATATTATTCATCATTCAGCACTGATTGATTGTTTTATCTCATGTTCCATGTTCTCCATTGGCAATCTTTCTAATATCCTTGCGGTAAAATTTGCCAGATGACTAAGAGATGGGAAGAAATTTAATCATTAGGGTGATGCAGTTAAAGTTTTGAGGAATTTGACCTAGCATGATTCTTGAAATATTATTAATATTTCCTTGCGTGCTGTTTGTGTTCTATCTCAACCACTGTAATACTACTTAATCTGGTTTAGTGGCTTTACCCAGTGGGAAACCAGACTACAAGGACGAGTTGAAGGTTCTGCAGCAATTATAGGAGACTTCTCTCAGGTTGTTTATCATTTTCTTCTCTGTTGTCTTCACTATATAGGTTCCTTTTGCAACTGAACAATTAAAGCTTTTTATTTTTCCTGGATACTTGATGCCAAAGGTGGTTGTGGGATGCTACGATGGAAACATATATTTTCTTGAGTTTTTAAATGGCAACATTTGTTGGACTTTCCATACATCTGGTGAGGTATGTGGTTTAAAAAGCTTTACCATGTTCTTAAGTTTTCTTGTGTTGGAGATGAATCTGCATTGATCAAGGAATAAGTTTCGTTGTGTTGTATGTCAGAAGTGAAGAAAGCTTTGATGTTAGGCCTTGTTGTCGACTTTGAATACCTTTTGCAATTAATGATCAACTTTTATATGTTTGGGATGAATTGTTTGGCAATGTGGAGTGTTTTTTATTTTAATCACTGGTCTCTTTGGAATTGGGTTAAAAAATAATATAAACATTTAATTAGAGCTGCAGTATTTTTGCTTCTTTGTTTTTCCCTCTTTCACCGCCTGCCTTCATATTGAAATTTTAATCTCGCATTTATTCCCTGAGAACCAATATAATCATTATAGGTCGTAAACCATTTTCTGGTTTTCATTCTGCTGTGCAGTAAACATTTTATTTCCTTGCTGATGCTAATTATTCATGTTGAACTTTTGTTTTGTAAATGTGTGCAGGTGAAATGCCAGCCAATTGTGGACGCACATAGGGGATTGATCTGGTAAGAGTTTCTCTAATCACGAATGCTTTTATCTTCACCATGCTGCCATTTTTTTTTTTTTTGATAAGAACCATGCCGCCATTTTCATTCTATTACTTACAATTTCCCAAAGTTCCTTAAGCTTATTTTTCAAGATTATGGTATTCTTCCTTTGCATTAGATGAGCATGGATCTGTAGCATTTTTTTTTGATCAGGAAATTGCATTGGATTGATAACAATGTTTACCAACATCAGCGTCTGATTTCAGATTGTTAATCAACTTCTGGCATTTTCTTTATTTTCTTTTATTGTGGTTTTGATAGTTGGACTTGTTTCTTTGCTAGTGGGTGACAACTTAATCGTATTTTGAATTGTGTAAATGGCTTGCTGCCGGTTATTCATTGTGCAATTTAAAGTTTGGTTAGTAAGGAGCCCTAATATGTTTAAGAATTGATCTTCTTGAGCAAGATGGATAAGGTGATGATCTGAACTTGGATGTGCTTGTTATTTACATATGATGCACTTGAAAGTTTCCTAGTAATTCTAGATGATGTGAAGAAGATATATTTTTGAAATTTTGGATGTCAGCATCTACCTAGGTTTAATAATACAGTGAATTGTTCGGAAAAAGTACCATTTTTTCTAGGATGATTATTGTGGCTGGGATGTCAAACAAATCTAAACTGAGACTTAGGTTCTTACTATATGGTAAATAATTGGAAGGTAGGTGTAAGAAGTTTCTTTCTTCCTCTGCAGCTTTAAACAAAATAGAGATATGTCACAGGGTTACTTGTATGGGGGTGAGTGATATTGACTATATAGCAGTATTTTGGTTTATATCTGCGACATTGACTATTTTGTTTTGTTTTTTTTTTTGGACAAATTCATTGACTATTCTGTTACAGTAGTAAAGTGATAGCTCTTTCATCATATGGATTCTATAATCAGTTTTAAAAGTCGATATTCTGTTCCATTCTCCGGTTAGAGGGGGTGCATGTTGCTTTCTACTTGCAGACTGCAAGTTGCAGTGCTAGAACTTCATGAAACCCAGTTCAATTAATCATTTTGTTGGACAGTTGTTTCCTTATGTTTGGTAGCTATGTTTGGTAGCGGTCGCAATGTTATCACAACTACACATGAATAACTATTATTTTGGTTTCTAATGAGTTGTGTTATCAGTTATTGTTTTCATAACTATTACAACCGACACTACAATCATTTCAACATCATTTGTCACTGCCATGAACATATCAATTACTGGAAATTCCTTATTATTTTACATTTCCAAATTAAGTCAATAACCCGCCTTCAAATTTTGATGACTTATTTACATGATCTAGTCTCTGGAATAACGATATGCAGGTGTGGATCACATGACCATAACTTATATGCTCTTGATCATATAAATAAGTGCTGCTTATATATGCTTCCTTGTGGCGGTAGTATATTTGGATCACCTGCAGTTGATGAGGTGAGTTTTTTCTTTCAAGAATGTACTGAACCTTCAGTTTTATTTCTGATGGACCGTTTTTGAGCACCGTGTTTGTTCAATGTACCTTTTGTTCTCAAACACTATGGTTTTATCTTTTCTTATTTCTCGATCTTTGTGTCATTTCACCCCTAGAATATGACTTGTATTGCATCGTTGTTTTATTTCTTTGTAAATCATCCCGTTGGTTTCTGACATGTCTATTTTTAGTCTCCAGGTAATTTCACTCGGTAGAATTTTAATAGATCGTCGTACGTTTTCTAATGGATTTGTCATTAAATTTGTGGTTTCTTTTGGGTCTTCATTATTGGTTTAGAGTGACAAGGGACTGCATTGAGTCCTTAAACAAACTAAAGAACTAATACATGATATGTTTGATTCTGAATATGTACCATCAACTGGGATAGGGTTACTTGATAAGTGGTTTAAAGGGTTTTGCAAGATTATAGTTGTCTATGATCTTTGGCATAAAAACATTGATGTGTTATCTCATGGCAAACATAAAACACCTAGGGAATAGTTTATTTGTTGGAATTATCCAACATTCAGCCTTGCTAGAGAAATTATTTGAAGCTAAAACAATATGGGTCGGAGGTCAGTGAATTAGCAGTGTATTGGTCTAAGTTACTTATGCCTTATTGGCTAATTCAGATGGTTAATCATGTCCGCAGCTTTTGCATTGTATTACAACTGTAATTGATTTTCATATATATATATATATAAAAGGAAATTGTCTGGTCTTCTTGTTTGACTAATAGAACTTGAAGTATCATAGATTGCATTGTTTTCCCTTACTTATAGTTGTACATATTGTGACCTTTTTGTTCAATCACATTTTACATTAAAGTTTAGACTATAGCTTACAAGTAAATCACTCTAACGGTGTTGTTTATCATCACTTGAGATACTTTGTGGTTTATGTTTCAATAGGCACGTAGTGCACTTTATGTGGCATCTACTAGTGGCCGTGTGACAGCTATTTCAATTAAGGTAAACTGTTTGCTAAATATCTTTTCATGGAATAAAGCAATACAGCCTTGAATGTTATTTTCCTATGTTGCTTTGAGACTTAAAATGCCTATGTCCGATACCCATTTTGACACATTTTCGGACATGACTCATGAGTATGGGATATGACTAGGGGTGTTCAAATAACTGAACTAATTCGGTTAACCGACCGAACCGAATTAGTTCGGTTAATTCGGTTCGGTTACCGAATTAGTTCGGTCGGTTAACGGTTAAGAAAATTTTTAGAATTCGGTTAACGGTTAATTCGGTTCGAATTCGGTTCGAATTCGGTTAATTAACCGAATTAACCGAAATTAAATTTTAAATATTAAATATATTATATATAACATATGGGCTCAGCCCAAACCATTTAAAACCCAATTAATAATTTAAGATCCAATAACTTTTAAACCTAAATCAATATTAATTAATTAAAAAAATTATATAAAATTTTTATTTTATAATTATATATTATTTAAATTAATTGTAAACTGTTTTTTTTAATTAAAAATATTAAATATTTTATATATAACATATGCCCAAACTATTTAAAACCCAATTAATAATTTAAGATCCAATAACTTTTAAACCTAAATCAATATTAATTAATTAAAAAATTTATCTGAAATTTTTATTTTATAATTATATATTATTTAAATTAATTATAAACTTTTTTTGAATTAAAAAACATTTAATTTTTATATAAATTAGAAAATTTTTAAAAAAATCGGTTAATTCGAAAATTAACCGAAATTTATTCGGTTCGGTTAATATTTTCGAAAAAAAAAATCGGTTAATTTGGTTATGGTTAATTCGGTTCGGTTCGGTTTTAACCGAATGAACAGCCCTAGATATGACCCTCTAAGGATTGGCTAAATATGTGGAAACAATTGAAAAAAATTGGCATACCCTTGGATGCATACCTTTATCCAATATTCACACTTGAGTCCCAGTAAGATGGGTATTTGCTTCAAATCATGTTGTAAATAACTATGTTTCTGGACATGATATGTCAAAAGATGTTTTAAATTGAATATATCAGTAGTTACTTTGTCACTAAACCTCAACGAGGTGAATCTCTTTCCTTTTCGATTGTTATGTGCCCTATAATTACAGGAATTGCCGTTTTGCACGCTGTGGTTACATGAACTTGTGGTGCCAGTATTTGGGTCACTTTCCATCAGTTCTCCAAATGGATATGGTACATTTTTTTGTATCTTTCCATCAGCATTTGGGTCCCTTTACAGTATCTTTCTTTTTGTTTGCCGTTCCTAAATATTGTTTTTTATTTTGTAGTCATTTGTTGCTTGGTGGATGGTCATGTTGTTGCATTGGATTCAAGTGGATCCATTGTTTGGAAGGTACATGTTTAAAATCAGTCATTTTTGTTAATAATTTAAAATATTTGACTAAATAGCTTGCAGTTTTCCCTCTTAAGAAAATACTCTTTGTTTTAACTTTGATGCTGATTCTTATCAAAAAAAAAAAAAACTTTGATGCTGATTATTTTTCTTCGAAAATATTTTATCTTTCTCCTAAGTTATTCTCATACAGAGGAGAACCGGTGGTCCAATATTCGCTGGGGCTTGCTTATCTTCTGCGCTTCCTTCTCGGGTAATGCATTTCTTTCAGTTAATATTTAAACTAGTCAAAATTTATCACATATTTAGAGTTTGAGATGGTGAAATTTTGCCATTATTTCTATATCTTGACAGTGATATAAGTGTTGAGGAAAGGAGTCGAGTTTATTTCCCTTGATTTTAACTTTTAATGCCTCTACTTTCTCCAACTACGTCTATATTTATAATCATTTAGTGATCCCACAGAATATGAACATAGTAGAAAATTATGATTCGACTGAGATTCTATATAATTGTCCTACAGGTGCTAATCTGTTCCCGGAACGGAAGTGTGTATTCCTTTGAAATGGTAAGAGCGAGAATTGACTTGATACACTAGTGTACACAAGAAATATGTTTTTGCCACTTATGCCACTAATCTGGTTTAATGGTCATTCTTTTCTGCTATGACTTGAGAATTCAAGCTCATGCCATATTGCCAGCTAAAGTAGGGCTGTAAATGAGACGAGACAGATCGCGAGCTACTCGAGATCGACTCGATCAAGGCTCGATAAATACTCGGATCGAATGGACTTGACTCGGACTCGAGCTCGAGCTCGACTCGAGTTCTTAACGAGCCGAAACGAGCTACTTGATATTCGACTCGAAAAGCTCGTGAGCAGCTCGAAAACATAATATATTAAGATTTTATTTTTTAAAAATAAATTATTAATAATATTAACATTTATGTATTGATCTTTAAAAAAAATACAATAAGATTTTCATGTATTTAAAGTTCAGGTTCGAGTTTGAGTTTGAGGCTTCAATCGAGTTAAGTTTAAGAATTTTTTTTCTTCATTTTGAGCTTTTTCGAGCTGCTCACTAGCTTCAGTTAAAGATTTCGAGTTCGAGTCGAGCTTGAAATTTTAAGCTCGCGAGTTTTCGAGTCTAGCTTCATTTTAGAGTTTTCGAGTCGAGTCGAGCTCAGTACTACTCGAGCTCGACTCGGCTCGTTTACACCCCTAAGCTAAAGTGCCTGAAAAGTCATTCGTCGTGCCAATCAAATATTCCTTCAATATCGATATATGTCCATTCACTTTTTTATTCATTATTCGGGATTGATACACATATTTTAGTACTTTGTTTGTCCACAAAGCCATTATATCTTAACATTGAAGCGGTTTATTAAAATCTTATGCAAAATCCTAGAAAGTCAAGAGTTTCACCCAAAACTCATTTCTAGTTGAAGCTTACAAGTCTCTTTTATTTCTGTTGAGACTATTTTTCCGTTACATTAACCGCCATGGGAGATCACTTCAGGAAAAAGGTGAACTACTCTGGGAAGTAAATGTTGGAGATCCAATCACTGCATCTGCCTATATTGATGAGAACTTACAGTTGGTTTCAAACGACCCCTCCATTTCAGCTGAAAGGTAGACAAACTTCACCAATACTAGAAGATAAATCGCAGACATTTCATTTTAAACAAGTTCTTCCGATATATTTTGCAGATTGGTTTGTGTTTGTACTAGCTCTGGAGGCATATTTTTGTTTCAAATCAACTCGGACGAAGGGATCAGAAATCATCAAAGAAAATATGTAGTGCGGGAATTTGCAAGGCTTAAGCTGGAGGGGGATGTGTTTTCTTCACCTGTTATGATCGGAGGCAGGATATTTGTCGGTTGCAGGGATGATTATTTGCATTGCATTGCATTGCTGTTGAAACCCGAGACTTAGTTGGACTATCGCCGAGGTTCGTGTTTGATCTTCAGCTCTGGAAAATAGGTTTATGTCAACCAACAGCTATCCAAACATCTTAGCTGCAGACCAGCAGACATGTTGGAGCAGACTAGAGATGGAATTACAATGTCAACAATAAATCTTGAAAATCCATATTGTAGGGAGCCAAATGTAAACTTGTTTGATAATATTGTGAACGGAACATGAGAAATATTGCCCCTATTGATGTTTGTTTCCCATTTTTAACCGAAATGTATAATGGATTATACTTGCATCCCTTGTATATGTGTGTATTACCACTTTTGGTTTGTAATCGAGTTCTTTTTTCAATGGAAATGCTGTTTCATGTTGAAGATTTCTTTAGGTACAAATTACTTGGGAAATTTAAAATACAACTGATTATAGATTAAAAAATGGTTGTAATCCGTTATAACTGAAAAACTTACCAAGTGCATAACTATTTAGAATAAATTGAATAACATTTTAGGTTGAAACAAAAATATATGTTTGGAAATCATGTAAATTGCATGACTATTTTGATTGTAACGTTAAAAGTTATTATCAAGAGACCCATGTAACATTCTCGATTGTAACTGAAATTACTCTCAATTGTGTAACTTTTTAGAGTAGACAATGTAACATTTTAGGTTAAAATCCATCGTAACATAATATTTTAGGTTGTAACTGAAAATATTACCTATTATATAGCTTTTTATGGTAGGCATGATAATATTTTAGGTTACAACTAAATTAGCTTCAATTTTTCATGTTCACGACAAAACTACTGATAAAGGTTAAGAGTTCAGTAAATTACATGTTAAAAAAGCTATAAGGAAATACAAAAGCGCCACTTTAACTGAAGTAGATTTGGAGGATGCTAAATGAAAAGTGAAGGACAAATATGGAAAATAAATGAGGAATGGTACATCATATGATGCTCCATTTTGGATGCACTTTCTTTTTCTTGGTGGGGCAATGCAAGTCATCCATGTTAGTGGAGCACCCAAATTTCCTCTTCATTTCACTCCACAAGCTCAGTTTCCCCTTATTTAGTCTTTGCCTGTTGCTTCCATTTGTGATTTCTTTCTTCATTTCATGGCAGTCCTTCTCAAGCTCCTTCACCTTGATGCTCATTTTCTCCATTTCCAGCCTCACTTCTTCTTCTTCCTCATCTTCTTTCCCCGTTTTGTCATCGTCGTAAGCCGCACGCACCAGTGTTTCCCGCAGCTGCAACTGTGCCATAAACAGCACCTGCACCACCACTCTCACCGGTAATCTTTCATTTTTGGTTGCGTGTTCGCAAGCCTCAGCAGACATTTTCCGGAAATCCAACACCTTGCAAACCTGTTCCTTCTCCTTCTCTGTCAAGTAAGCATGCTTTTCCAAGTATATGTCGATGGCTCGGTATGTTCCGTCCGAGTTTCTCTTTGTTCCTAATGCTGCTGCCATGGACATCTCTGCAAGTGAAATGAAAGTGTCTATCACTAAACTTGCATCACAAGCAACTGCTGCCAAGAATTCTTCCATGAGTTCTGCCACCTTGATAAATCCCGAAGCATCAGAGCTATCGTAATTGCCGTAGAATGCCTTCAGAATCCTCCTTATACACTCAATATCATATTGCACGTCTTTGGTATAGCCTTGGGAAGGAATCAATAGGTCCTTTACTTTTGCCTGGTCCAGCTGTTTGCCGATCCTTATCTCGAAACCATTCCTACATCCTGAGCTAGCTTCCAATTCGATTGCGAATCGGAGCATTTCGAAAAACAATGAGCAAGGAAGTAGTTCTCTTCCATGTGGCAATAGCTTCTCCAATGTTTCAATTACATTTCTTTGATATCTCCTCTTGTAAATCGACACGGTCTCCCTTCCGCCGCTGCAGCAAAAGATCCACTTCTTTGCATACCGATAAATTGATGCTGAAATGTATTCCAGCGGGATTTCGTGTTGTTTCATTGTGTAAATGATAGGCTCATATAGCTGCAGAGACAATGTTGTCAAATCTTCTTGCCAGTCCAGAGCAAAGAGCCTCCTCTTTGCATTAGGCTTATCACCACCGTCACCATCATTTCTCGAGACGGTTATTCGTTCCCCTAGATGTTGTGGATTATCTGATGCCTTTGCAATCATAGCCTGCAAGCAGGCATCGAATAAGCCGAGCTGCATCATTTGTTGAAGGGACTTTTCGGACGAGCGTAAAGCCTTGATGATTTCGTTCCAACTGGGGAGGACTCTCTGCTCAAAGAAAGTAACAGCCTTGCTTAATAGATTGTCATTGCAGTGATTTTCATCCATCCCCAAGTGGAATGACAGGCAGATGAGTGGGACAATGTTTTCAGAGGACATGTGAATTGCATATCCATGGCAGAATCTTGCAACGAGCTCGAAAGTGTCCGAATCGGCCGGAATGTCATGGAGCAAGCAAGATAGATCTGCATTTGAGTTCTCTTTAAGTAAGGCAACAACTTTAGCTGATTTTGAGGCCAGAAGTTCCTAGATGGTAAAGATCATATCATAAATAATAATTCAATTCATAAAAGGAGAAATCATTAATGAAATGAAGGTTGTTTCGGAACATTTCTCACTTTGTCCAGGGCAAAAGGCATACTTCCTACATGAACTTCCAATCCCGTAGAAGACGCAGATTTCGACACCCTGAGAACAACAAACAAGAAAGAGTTATAAGGCGGAAACCGGTCGGGACCCGGAAAATCAACTCAAAGATTCAACACCTCGACGATGCATCCGCGTACGGCCTTTCGGTCATGTTGTCCTTGGGTTTCAGCTTTCGAATGAAAACCAGAACAGTGCAAAAACACAGTAGGGTTCCCTTGATCAGTTTGACAATGTTAGGCCAATTCAACTCTTCATAACAACAGCAACTAAAAACATTCATAACATTAACAGAAAATCTTCATTGAAACCTACATATGATGTTTAGAGATTGTTGGACAAAGTGTCTGATCATATGAAAAAAAAAACAGAAAAAGAAACATGGGTTTGGGAAATATACAAAATAGTAATCATAAATTCTTACCTGGATGAAGATAGGGAGAGCAGCAATAGAGGAAGAAAACACTTAATTTTGATTGGTAAATTTGCATTTGTTGAAAAAGATTTGAAAGAGAGAGTAAAACAAACGTTCAGCAACAACACAAATACAATACTGGTTCCTCGGGGGTTCTGTTATTTAAAATATTCTCTTAACAGATTTTTAATAAGAGTCTCAGTTTAATTATACTTCTCCTTTTCCTTATGTACCTTCTTGACAAATTCAACTACTTTATAGTATTTCGGACTTGAACATTAAATTAATTCTTGTATTTTTAGAATTCCTGTAAAGGTAGATATTAGAGATGGCTTAATACAAAAGTAAGTCTCTAAATTGTCTCTTAGTGCTTAAAAAAGTTTTCGTTAAAAAATAAGTATCTAACATTTTATCGGTTATACTTTTAGACACCTACCGTTTATTTTTAAAAATTTTAATAATTTTTAATTAAAAAGAAAAAAGTTTAATCTATTTATAAAAAACCAAACTTTTTACTGAAATTATAAAAAATCCTAAAAAAACCCTAAAATCTCTCATTTCGACCCCTATTACCAACCATCTTCGGCCATCTCCGGCCACCATCGTTATCACCGAACGGTCACCCACCCGTAGCCACCCACCCATTGATCAATCGTCGTCCTTACCATCACCCAAAATCCCCAATATCCAAATCCTTAATTCTTAATTTCAATTTCTTAACTCAAACGGTCACCGACCATCTCCGGTCATCGTCGTCGTCATCGAACGGTTGGGTTTTGATCAGAATAGCACGATGGTTCGAATGGAGGTGGTGGTGTGGCTTATGGACGTCGGAATCAGTCATAATTGACAAACAATGACTTAAAATCTGATGAACCTTTTAACGCTTTTTCACTACAAACTCTGGCATATTACAACAAAATGTCAATGGGTATTTGATCGGGGGTCGACGCCGGTGATGACGGCGGCGGCAGCGGTGACATTCACTGCTGGTCGGCCGACGACTTCTAGAGGAGGGAAAGGGGAAAAGGGTGAGGGAGGGGGCTTCTGCCTGTGTTGGAGAGTTTTTTTTTTAATATATTTTTTTAAAAAAGATCTTAAAATTATCAGCATGTGACACATGTCATTTAACGGAGATATTTAACGACGGTTAACGTAAGGATATCTAAAAATATATCGTTTGGAACATTAGACATGTATATTTAGCGAAAAATTCTTTAGGCACTAAAACGTTTTTCAATGTATAGTTCAGGCACTTGTTTTTATATTAAGCCAGTAGAGATTGTGACCCAAATTCTGTTTGATCTATAGCCCATAAAGTTCACGGTGCGACCTATTTAATGTAATTAATTTATAATTCAAAAGATCAAAATATACCTTGTGAAGAGTGATGAAAATGAAACAAAAACGTCAACTATTGAATAGCGCAGGATAATATAGACTCTGAGTCTTGACTATCCAACTAAGACTGCTGTCATTTAACACCACGTGATAACATAGAATAGTCAATAAAAACACTTAAAACTTGTTAACCTACAGTATCTGTTCTCATCAATCATCTTCCTCGGAATCACTCTTAGAATGCCAAAACCAGAGTTTCCCCTGCTAGGCCTAGTGGCCGTCCTTTCTTTATTTCTACTCCCTCAACCCGTCGCCCGACTGAGAAACGATTGCGGCTCTATTTCATGTGGGAACGTTTCAATCAGATACCCTTTTCGATTAAAAGGTCAGCCTCGCAGGTGCGGCGACAAAAGGCTTGAACTCGTGCCAGAACAATAACTTCACCACTCTAGAGTTGGACAAGGGAAAATTCTATGTCCGAGACATCTTCTATGGAAATTTAACGATACGAGTCGTCGACGCGAGCCTTAACCACGACGGCAGTGACGGTTGCTCCTCCCTCTCAGCTCTATACTGGTTCGGTTTTCCGAGTGCGGGGCGACCCCGTATCGACCTGGATACTGTGCTCGTGAATTCAGCACCATGTTTCTTGTGAACTGCACGATGCCGATGAAATCTGTTGGTTACGTCGAGGCCTTACGAGCTCATTGCAGCACGAATCCATCGGATTCGTACTTCTATTTTTTAGATGAAGAAGCCAAACCACGTGATTTTA